ATAGTATGGCAGACTGTTACGATGATTGATCTAGGCAACCTAAATATTACACATTTTGATAAAAATTGCATTTGATAATTATTGGAAGCATTGTCTTAGATATATGAGGTCTTTTAAAAACAACTCATGTAATTCTGGATGACGTGCCTATTGCTGTAGTGACTCAGGGTTTTCAACACCAATTATATTTCTAGTTTTTGTTTTTATAGGTCCTGTACTCAGAATAAATTTGTCCACATAAAATAAGTGGGTGGGAAATGAGGCGGTGTCAGTCAGTTCTCTGACTGAATTCTGTCATCTGTCACTTGCTGACAGTTCCATTCACTCCTAAATATTTGTTGAAGAGAAGGAACTGGGGACCATCTAATTTGCAAAAAGACTTATTACCTAGACATATCAATGTGGAATTACTCAGTGTATTGGATGTATACTAAAATACTTGATCAAGATTTCAGGTGATGATCATGTTTGTTTCTCTTGAAGATGCCTTGTTTGACTCCGTATACCTAAAAGATTGGGAAATATCTAAACGCTCTGAGTTTTAAAATATACCTTTGTCAATAAAATATTTTAAATGGCCTTATCACTTGCATTAAATATGTTTTGTCAAAATCTTTGGGGCCTATATGGTCTGCAGAAAATATCTCCCATTAAAACCTGACTTGATAGTTCTTACTGTCAAACCAGTTAGTTTACAAAAATTTTTTGCAAAACAAGCTTGTTTCAATTTTCCTTAACATTTTATTATGAATATTTCAAGCATTATAGAAAAACTGAAAGAATTATTGTAAAGTGAAAATTCCCTGGGAGCCAGTGGCTCAGCCTGTAATCCTAACTACTCAGGAGGCTGAGATCTGAAGACTGCAGTTCAAAGCCCCTGGGCAGGAAAGTCCATGAAATTCTTATCTCCAGGTAACTACCAAAAAAACTAGAATTAGAGCTGTGGCTCAAAGAGGTAGAGTGCTAGCCTTCAGCAAAAGAGCTCAGAGACAGTGCCCAGACCTGAGTTCAAGTCCTTATGACTGACAAGAATAAAAAGGGGGGCTGGGAAAGTGGCTCAGTGGTAGAGCACTTGCCTTGCATGCATGAGGCCCTGGGTTTGATTCCTCAGCACCACATAAGCAAAAAGAAAAAAAAGCCGGAAGTGGTGCTGTGGCTCAAGTGGTAGAGCGCTAGCCTTGAGCTGAAGAGCTGAGGGACAGCACCCAGGCCCAAAGTTCAGGCCCCAAGACCCGACCCCCCAAAAAAAATAAAATAAAAAATAAATAAAAACTATGACAAAGCTTTTTGTGATAGTTGCTTTATCAGGTATCAGGTAACCATGTATTTTTCTCTTACCCATTTATCAGTTTTTTGTTTTTTGTCATGGGGCTTGAACTCTGGGCCTGGCCTGGGCACTGTCCCTCAGCTCTTTAGCTCATGGCTAGTGTTCTAACACTTGAGCCACAGCGCCACTTCTGGTTTTCTGGTGGTTTATTGAAGATAAGAGTCTCACAGAGTTTCCTGCCCAGGCTGGCTTTGAACTGACAGCCTCAGATCTCAGCCTCCTGAGTAGCTAGGATTACAGGCATTAGCCACCAGTGCCCAGCTTATTTTTATTATTCAAAAGTTAGACATGTGCAATTCACTCCTAAGTATTTTAGCATACATAAAACTAGTGTTAGACATTTGTTTACAGCTTTCTGTAAGATTTATGTAGAATGAAACATCAACTTTTAAGGGTATTGTTAGATACATTTTGAGAAATGTACACATTCAACTCCCATGCAGAACTTGGAGCCAGACATGGTGGTACATTCCCGTAATCCTGGGTCCTTAGCAGATATGAAGGAGGACTGAAGCTCAAGGCCCCTCACTTAAAGTTAGTGAGAGGCCCTATCAGAAAAACAAACCAAAGGAAGAAAAACGAGGGCCATGGCTTAAGAGGTAGAACACTTGCCTTGCAAATAGGAAGTTCAGAGTTCAAGCCCAGTTCCACACACAAAGGAAATATTGACTATAGGCTGGGGCCATAACTCTGTGGTGGAGCATTTGCCTGTAATGCACAAGGTCCTGGGGTTTTCTATACTTACATATGCAAACACACACGTGCATATGCATGTATATTTACACACTGACACTCTCTCTCTCTCTCTCTCTCTATATATATATATATATATATATAGTAATTCAAGTGGTCATAAACATGTGCTCTTGTATCTTTCAGTCATGATTGAGGTCGGCCGTGTCTCACCTGGCATTTCTTTGTTGCTGAGCACTATTGCAATGTGCGCTTGTAAACCATGTTGTTCTGTCAGCCTTTGCGTGGGTTCACCAAACTTTGGCAGTTACAAATAAGTTATTATCACCAACCATTCTTGTGTGGATCTTTTTCATAGGAGCATAACTGCTAGGTCTTAGGATAGTATGTGTTTAATTGTATTTTAAAAACCCAGCAGGTCTTTTTCCAAAGCAGTTGTACCATTGTATGGGGATTGATAGAACTTCTGGTTGGCAGCAGCACATGTTGAAGAATGTGGAGCAGTCCTTTTGGTCTTAGCTGTTTGGCAGCCATGTTGTCTCAAAGTTTAGATTTTTGGAGCAGAGGTTGGAGTTACAGGCCCATAATCCTAGCAATGTGGAGATTGAGGTAGGAGGATTATGAATTTGAAGTTAGCCTGGGCTGCACAGGGAAGTTCTGTCTTCAGAAAAAATCTTCTGAGCCTCAACAAAATCAGAATGTTGTCAGGTGATGGCATGTACATGAAGCTGCAGAATGGGCTTCGTGCACACAGGCCTGGTGAGCCTGGCAGCATCAGAGGTTTTAACCACTCATTCCTTCTCCCTTTTCTTGTCTTTCTGTGCTGGTTCTGGGGCTTGAACCTGGGGCCTGGGTGCTGTCCTAAAGCTTTTGTGCTCAAGCTAGGGCTCCACAACTTTGAGCCACAGCTCCACGTCTGGCTTTTGGTAGTTAATTGGAGATAAGGGTCTCCTAGACTTTGTTGCCTCGGCTGGCTTTGAACCATGATCCTCAGATCTCAGCCTCCTGAGTGGCTGGGACTATAGGCGTGAGCCACCAGTACCTAGCAGCTGCTCTTGTCTTTTAGTAGCAAGTACAGCTAATGATTAGGTTATCTCTTTTTGGGGTATGAGGATGCTGTGACTTTGGAGGAGGAAGGGAATGGCTGTCTCAAGACATAAGATGTCCTGAGATTAGTGTAAAGAAGGCATATCTATCTATCTATCTATCTATCTATATATCTATATCTATATCATCATAATTAACAGTAATATTCTTTCCTAATTAATGGGAAATAGGCACTTTTTTGCATGCTTTCAAGGGAAGCATAATGTGTAGGGGTTAGTTTTGAGTTGCATGCATCCTTTGCAAAGAGAAGCGGGAGGGGGTGGCCTGGGAGAGGGTAGTCCAGTGTGGATGAGTTCCTGCCCAGACTGTGCGGTAGTGAACACAGCTTAGATAAACACAGACAGGGAGCAGGCAGTGTCTGCAGCCAGACAGGAGTGCTGTGAATGGATGACACAGCAGGAACGCTACAGAAATAAATCCTGAGGGGAGGAGTCCTTTGTATGGACTGATGCTCCCCTTGTGCTCTGGCGCTCTGCGCTGCGCCTGAGCACACGCAGGTGTGCCACAGGGGCCTCTGCCAGCAGTCCCCAGGCTAACAGCATTGACCCCTGTTCTGCCTGGCTCAGGGGCTCCCCAGGCGGGCTGGCCCCCTCTTCTGCTTGCTGGTCCTTGCAGCAGGAGAGCAGGTGGATGATGTGAGCGGCCTTCCTGCCCAGCTTAGGACCATCGCTCTGCCTGCCCACCCCAACCCTATGAAGAGGAAGCCCAGGGCCAGGGCAGGGCAGGGCCTGGTGCAGGCACTGGGGAGGAAATAACGGTCTAAGAAAGTTGGGCTTCTTAGACCCTGCTGCTGAGGCCATGCATGGGCACAGCACAGGTTCTTGGTTCTCAGTAACGGCTTGGAACGGCCTGGCAACTGAAGGTGCCAGGGACCCCACTGGGCACTCACACCCTGAGGGCCTCCGAAGGGGCAAAGGCAAAGAGAGCCAGTGTGGACAGAGCGGGTAGAACCATCCTTGGGAGGCTGTTTCTCCTGCTGTGGTCTGTCAGGCATTGCCCCCGAGAGCACAGTCCTCATTATGCAGGGAGGGGGTGGCAGGAGGGGAGATGTTGGGCTCCTGTGTTTGCTCACTAGTGCTCACTCTCTCGGTGTGTGGGAGCCTGGGAGGGAGGGGCCCCGAGGGGGAGCAGCCCCTCCCCTGCGTGCCATGGGGCTTGTGCACCCGGCCCTGCACAGGCCGGCCACTTTTCTCTATGATGAGCCTGGAGCACCAGCTGCTGTCCCCAGGGTCCGAGTGCGCCTGTTCCTGGGTGGGAGGCCCTGCTGGGCCGGGGCCGCTCCGAGCTGGCCGGCTTGTGACGCTTTGCACTGGCTGCAAAGCCAGGGCTTGTGCCAGCGGCTGGAAAGCCTCCAGGACTAGAGTGTTTTGGGGTTTGGGGGTGGAGGGCCAAGGGAAGGGTGGGGCGGGGCCGAGCCGCGCTAGCGGGGCTGTTGGCCTCGGCTCTAGCCTCCACACAGGGAGCAGACGGGACTTTAGTGGCACCTGAGGGCCGCTTGGCCACCATTGCGACTCCTCCCGCAGGCAAGTCTCCTCCCTGCATCCCTCCTGCTCCTCCCCCGACCAGTGAGGGACGCGCTCCTTCCTCGCAGCGCAGCGCGCGGCGCGGCGGCGGCTGATGTCACTGGCAGCGGGCAGCATCAGCAGCCTGGTCACATGCTGCCCGTCTGTAATGCAGACAGGATAGGGGTGTGTGTGGGGAGGGGGCTGGACGGCCAGGCTTCTGCTCCAACACCCCCAAAAGTGCAGAGGTGGCGGCCACAGCATCCAGCCAGCTCCTGGACCCAGGGAAACTGTCATTAGTGGTATTTACTGTGGGTAATACCGGGGAAGACAGCGCTTAACTCAGGTTTCTACTGTCCTCCTGTCCAAAGCAGACTTCCAGGACTCCGAAGAAGCAGTTCCGAGCAAGATGCTCTTCCCCACCTCTGCGCAAGAACCTTCCCATGGCCTCCCAGATGCAAATGACTTGTGCCTTGGCCTGCAGTCCCTCAGTCTGACGGGCTGGGACCGGCCCTGGAGCACGGACACAGACTCCTCAGCCCAGAGCAGTACACACCCGGGTGAGTGCCAGAGAATGAGGTGGCTGGGGGAGGGGTGCATGGGGTGATGAGCAACAGTTGTGCTATTCCCCTTGGAATCACACACACACACACACACACACACGGAACACGGAGCACGGAGCAGTTTTGGGAGAGATGGAAATGCTGGCTGTGAGAGAGGCTTGTACAGGAAGGCATGGCTTTGCCACTGCCCTGATAAATTCCCTGGAGATGTTAGCCTCCACCTGGGCCAGCCCTGCGCAGGGTCCCCTTACACAGCAATGACCAGCCAACCCCCGTGCCCAGGCCCATCTTGGAGATGATGAAGCAAAACACTTTTAGGTGGGGGAGGGGACTTTCAGGCTGACGACTGGATGGCCAGATTCTGTTTCTCAGTGGCTTTTAAAACTGCAGAGCTGTCTGTGAAAGGCAATGGTCTCAGTGGTGGCCTAGGAAGGATTTCCACCTCTGGTGAGGCTGGATAATTAACTCTGGGACACAGGGATCAGCTGACTAGGTCCTGGAAAGGAGTAGGCACTGAGAACTCCTGCCCTCAGAGGCCTTTCAAAGACTCCTCTGTGTCATGGACACCCAGACGTGAAGCCAGGCCTCTCCCCTGGCCTCTTCCTCCCTCCCTCCCTCCCCTGTCTCCTTCCTCATCATCTTGGCATGGTTTGGTGGGGTCAGGCTGAAGGGACTTGCAAGTCTTGAGCTGCTTCAGCTAGCTCTTCCCATCACTTGTGTATCTCCTCTGCATTACTAAAAGGAGGATTGGCCAGATAAAAGTCCTAAGATATTCAGAAGAAATGTGAACTGAAAAGCTATAGTTATATCATGTATACTTCAATATGCATATTTTATTTTATGTAAATTCCATAATCAAGTACTGGCCACAGATTCTATGAGAAGGCAGAGAGGTTGGGGTGGGGTACCTCTGTCCTTCTGGTACTGATGGTGGGGTACCTCTGTCCTTCTGGTACTGATGGTGGGGTACCTCTGTCCTTCTGGTACTGATGGTGGGGTACCTCTGTCCTTCTGGTACTGATGGTGGGGTACGCCTGACCTCTGTCCTTCTGGTACTGATGGTGGGGTACCTCTGTCCTTCTGGTACTGATGGTGGGGTACCTCTGTCCTTCTGGTACTGATGGTGGGGTACGCCTGCTGTCCTTCTGGTACTGCTGGTGGGGTTCCTCTGTCCTTCTGGTACTGATGGTGGGGTATGCCTGCTGTCCTTCTGGTACTGATGGTGGGGTACGTCTGCTGTCCTTCCTCATATCCCCGGTCCAGGAGCCAGCTGTCATGGTACTGAGGTACTGCCATGGAGATGCTCTGGCCTCTACCCTGTTTGGCACAGTTCTTTTCTTTTAGAATTCTTTGCGGAACTGGCACTCTTATGTCTGTTAGGCATTTTAATACCTTTTTAAAAAAGTAAAATCCATTTGGGGTAGGAGAATTTGATTTTATTTGTGGGTCAGGGACAAACTTTGCTTTAACCCAGGATGGTGGGGGGCTCTCTTGAGTACTGGCCACAGCTGACTCAGGCTCTTCTGGGAAGGTTGCTAACTGTCCTGTTTTCTAGGCCTGGAAGTATGCCATGCCTGTTTATGTCCTCAGCCTGGACCTTGGTTTGGAGAGCCATAATCATGTGTGTGAAGCCAGCCTTACCCCTCCTCACTCAAATGGGGAGGCATAGGAGATGGACTTGTGTTTGTGGGTTGCCCATGGTTGACCCAGCACTTCGGCTGGCATTCAGGAGGGGCATGGCCCTTCTTTGGTACTGGCTTCTCTTAGATATAAGGGTCCTTTGAGGCTCATGGAAATTCAGGGGTGGCCGGGCACCGGTGGCTGTCATCCTAGCTACTCAGGAGGCTGAGATCTGAGGATCACGGTTCAAAGCCAGCCCAGGCAGGAAAGTCCATAGGACTCTTATCTCCAATAAACCACTCAGAAAACTGGAAGTGGCACAGTGGCTCAAGTGGTAGAGTGCTAGCCTTGAACTGAAGAGCTGAGGGACAGCGCCCAGGCCCAGAGTTCAAGCCCCATGACCAATAGAAAAAAAAAAAAAGAAAAGAAATTCAGGGTGTGCAGCATCAGATTGAGAGAGCTTGGCCTCAAAGTTACTGGGAATTGGGTGATTAAAAAAATAACTTGTCTGGGGCTGAGAATGTGGCTCAATGGTAGAGTGCTTGCCTATGCGCATGAAACCCTGGGTTTGATTCCTCAGTACCACATAAGGCCGAAGTAGTGCTGTAGCCCAGCTGGGTACAGTGTTAGTCTTGTGCTAAAGCAGGTCATGGACAGCGCTCAGGCCCTGAGTTCAAGCCCCAGGACTGGCTAAATAAATTTTAAAAAAGAGAGAAATAACTTGCCTGGGAGAGGAGTGTGGAGACTGCCGGGAGCTTGTGGCCAGGCTGGGCGGCACAGCAAGACCCAAGCTGCAACAGAACCAAAAAGGCTGCATCTAGCATAGTTTCCTAGCTTCTCTACCACTTGAAAAGCCTGATCTTTTTTATTTATCTATTTATCTCTGAGGTGGGGATGATTTTTCTTCACTTTCCATTTCAAATACTTTGATGACAAATTTTACATGATTTTGTGGCAATGTGAAGACTACAGACTGAGTCTCAAAGTTCATAAGGACCAGAAGAATCCGCCCGTATAGCCATGGGGCTGAGAGCAGGGTTGGTGTGGGGATTTCTTCTTTGCTGGCAGTGAGGGACTCTTGCAAGGCCATCCGTGGCAGGGAGAGGCCCGGACCTGTGGGAAAGCCCACCTCCTTAAGCTCTCCCACAGCCAGCTGCAGCGCCAGACCGGCACCACGCTCACACTGCCTCCCTTCTGAAGACCCGTCCATTCAGAGAGGGAGGAGATAATGTGCAGCTTGAGGAAGATATGGGGGGGGGGTCCTATTGTCTCTGTGGAGAGCCTGGGTGCTCGCTTATTCCCCAGACTCTTGGGTGGTAGTGCCTTGGGCCGTATGGCTTCACATCTACCCTCTCCTACCACCCTAATAAAACATCTGACAGGGTGCAGAGTGCAGAGTTGAGTAAAAAGTTGGAAAATAGGACTCATGATCGAAGATCTTGGCTAAATTCATTCACAGACATTAGGCACTGGCTATGTTCGAGCACTGTGTTGGGCCCTAGAGTTGCATCAGGGAATACTTTCCACGAGGGTCAAGGGAACATGGATGGGGAAGCAAGCATACTAGCTGCAGCCCCCCGAGGGCTCCCCTGATGGCACTTCAGATGGGAGCTGCCAGAGCCAGCGTGTGCATGGTACATAGTACCTTGGGTACATGGGTCCATCCCCACGTCTCAAGGAGACGTGCCTTCAGGACAAGGGTGGGTTTGGGTGGGTGTGGCACTTTGGGGGTCTCTGCCCTCACTAGACAGGAGGCCTTTCAGGCAAGTGTCAAATGTGCATGTTCTTGGAAACCCTAATGGCACCTGTCCAAGGTTACCTTTGTCCTTTTTTTTTTTTTTAAATCTATTATGGGGCTTGAACTCAGGGCCTGGACGCTGTTCCTAGGCACTTTTGCTCAAGGCTAGTTCTCTACTACTTTGAGCCACAGCTTTACTTCCAGTTTTCTGGTAGCTTATTAGAGGTATGAGTCTCCTGGACTTTCCTGCCTGGGCTGACTTTTAACCCCAGTCCTCAGAGCTCAGCTTCCTGTGTAGTTAGGATTATAGGTGTGAGCCACCAGTGCCCGGATACCTCTCCTTCTGTCTTGCAGTTATCTTAAGCCCTGTGGTAGCGGAGTTGTGGAGGCTCCCCTCAGCTTCCCGGGAAGGGACCAGCGACCAAGAGGCACCATTTGTTGAATGCTTTTATGTTGAGCACATCCCAAGACTTTAATGCTTGCATAGATGAGGGAATAGGCCCACAGAGTTTGCAAAGTGCCCAAGTGACACAGCTACTGGCCAATTTCATCCTGCTCTCCCTGGTTCTGAAACTCTCATGCTTCATTTTGAACCTCTTCTTATGAGCAGAACCCTGGCATGCTGAGCCAGAAGGCTGGCTGCATCTCGGGCAGTGCCGGGCAGCAGGAGAGGCCCACGCAGTGCACATGGCCAGACCCGATGCCCCTCATAAGGCCTTCACTGTGCAGACCCCTGGGGGAAAGCGTTGGCTCCCTCTTGTTCCCTGACCTGTGCCACAGCCTGGGCTCATCTTTTTCCTCCCCCTGCGACTCCTGTGGGTGCTGCATTACTCAGCAGGACAGCAGGGTGAGGCCAGACTCCACAGAAACAAGAACTCTCAGTGAGCAGCTGTGCAGAGGGAAGCCTGGGACAGACCAGATGCTCAGTCTAAGGTGCCAAGGACACCCGCTCCCTGAGGCGTGGGTATGGATTAACCTCTCCATCCTCTGGTGGCTGCCCTGCCCACAGTGAATAGGGTATGCTCTGGGAGGGAACGTTGTAGGTCTGCCCTTCAGCCCCTCCCAACCCCTTTTGAAGCAACATTCCAAACAGCCCTCTCCTGTGTGGAGCAGTGACTTTCGAGGCCCAGCCAGTATCTAACATGTTTGCATGCATTCCAAATTCTCCGCTGCTGCCCTCCTAGCATGCAGCACGGTGCAGAGCTACAGATGATCAGTCACTCCGATGATCCTGGTGGGTTTTTGTTGTTTTTTAATTGGTTTGATTGGTTTGATTTTGTGATGCTAGATAAGAAACCCAGGATGTCGCAAATTTTGAATAAGTGTTCCCCAACTTATCTGTATCCCCTCCCCATCCTGGGTGTTTGACTGCTTGGTTCAGATAAACTATGCCGTTTTTCTGTTTTCTATAAGAATTGGTCAGCTGGACCCCATATTCTTCAAAAATTATTCATTCTAGATTCTAGTAACTTCTAGAGAACATTGATGCTTTGCTGCAGTTTTCAGCCTACATTGAAGCATGAGGTTTTTTTTTTTTGTTGTTGTTGGTCGTGGAGCTTGAACTCTGGGCCTGGGCGCTGTCCCTCAGCTCTTCAGCTCAAGGCGAGCGCTCTACCACTTGAGCTACAGCGCCACTTCC